TAGGTTCTGAAAAACCTCCATTCCATGGTTTCCTGAAACATTGAAATAGTTCAATGAAAAATCAACCAAAAACATGTTACCATTAGGCTTCAAAATGAATTAATAATGGATCACCAATTTATGATGTACCTAACCTTAGTGATTGATTGCCAATACACTCCATCGACCGAGACTCTGTTAGAATTTCGATTGTGATATACGCCTGGGATTTGTTTCCACTCTAAAAACGAATTGTATTGTCTCCGCAAATTGATGACTTTTTGTTTTACCATTGGAATGGAAAACTCTTTCCTAAATGTTTCTATCAACAGCCCAGTGATGAACCACAAACAGGTATCAAAGATTGTAATGGAACTTACAGGGATATTAAGAGCAGCATATTCAAGTTGTTCAACGAGAAAGTTCTCTTCGTTTTCATTCCAATCGTTACCATTGGAATGGAAAACTCTTTCCTAATCATATATCGTTCTCACACAATTCTTTCATGAGAAAGGATAAGAACTATCGAAAATGTGTAACAAAGATATACCATAGCCAATTACATTATATCCAAGACATTATGCAATGCAAGGATAATCATATATCGTTCTCACACAATTCTTTCATGAGAAAGGATAACTTCAATGCTAAAGGAGAGCTGACAAAAGAAGTTATGTCATTTGCTACTTCACACAGTGTTTGGACTACGATTCACTGACCTTGTAACTTCAAGTCATGACATATTTAATCTATATTAACATATGTAAACCACATGGCTGAAGAATTCAATTCTAGGATTAGTCTTTGTATCATTTCGCCACTAAAGACCACCATTCCAAACACTGAACAAATATGACGGAGCCTATGTTAAAAAGATTGAAAAATGATAAGCTACACAACCACTCCACAGAAATATATAAAATTCTTTAAACCCCTTTATCTGATGCAAATGACAAGGACAGACTAACTGAAGGTTCTCAGTCAAACCAAATCTATGAACTTGTCATACGTTCTAACATCTATAATTGTGAATGCCGAGATCGAAAAAGGGAACCCTAATTGAGGGTATAGTCCCAAATTCATGAACTAAAGTGAACAAAGTAATAATTGCAACCATAAACTGTTGGCAGAAAATAAATTCTACTATGGGAATAAAGTAAATCGATTTATAAACCTGCCTGGTGATTTTCTAATGAAGCCCGATTGTGAGAAACCTGTCAAGGAATCGTCCCGTCCGTCTGTAATCGAAGGTTCCTCCACCAAGAATCCGAGTTGTTGTAATTCAAGCTTTGAGCACGCAGTCCGAATCATCTTCTTCGTCTGAATCTCTTCTCTAGTCGGAGTCGAATTTTTGTCTATTTGGTGTCAAAATGGGAAATAGGAGAAAACACAAAAAAAAAAATGAAAACGTTTTCCGGGTTATAAAGAACCAACCAAACAACTTATTAGGACTATATCTAAATGTCCAAAATGCAACCAAACACCTTTAACTTATGGATAATCTCACTCATAAGACAGGGTCCAAACCTAAAGTATTGTATCAAGCCCAATCAATAAGTCCAACCAAACTGACCCTTAGCGTAATACAAGTGTTTATATAAGACAGCTATCTGTCAAGCGAGTCCACCTGTTTTGTTATACTACTTGAACTAAAATGTATATTTATACGATTGAATGCTATACTTCTGTTTATATTATTTTTTTCTATCAAGTATGACATTTTCTAATAAAAGTATTTATATTTGTAAAAAGTGTGCCGACCTAATGATTTGGTTAGCCCAACACAAGATGAAGCATTAACTTAAAAGGACTATTTTCTAGGTAAATGGTTTCTGAACGATTGAAAGGGGGAATACACGCACGCACACACAACACAAACATTCATCGACTGATGAAAGGACATACTCAAAAACATCCTTTAGAACTTCAATTGGCAATCAATCTAAAACTGATGACATCACTCTACAAGAATATGATGATTCCAACTTTCCCCAACCGTCTGATGCAATAAGTACAACTTGTTTACTTTAACCACCACCTAAGCTATGTTTTCATGAGGCCCTCCCTTCAGTTTTCAGATAATCCTTTCTAATTGCCCATAACTGTTCAGTCACTGCTTTCATATCTGGACGATCAACACGTGTAGGGGCAGCACATCTGATCGCCAAACCAAACATTTTCACAAGAATTTTCTTATCTTTTTGTTCGCCCATCAGAGGATCTATCATCTCAGTAACTCTTCCTTCTTTATATTTCCGAAATGCCTGCATAACCACATAAGCGTGTTAGCCCAGTTACTATAGTAAAATGTAAACAAGTTCTACAATTGAAATATAACTGCATAACTACTGTCAAGTCTTGTGTACGAGTCGTGATCACACATTTCTAACAAAAATTGATACTTCAAATGTGAGAACTAATACTTGCCAAAAATTATGCAAACAGTGTACAGTTTTAAAGTGTATGACTTTTGAATTTAAAACTATGGTCGTTTGCATAAATTGTATGAACATGGCACGTAAAATTTAAGTATGACTCATAATTCTTGAATTAAAAAATAAATAAATAAAGGAACTCCAAAAATTAACCAACTGGACATTGAGCTTAACGCCCATCATTTTGGACATGTTGTTAGCTCCATGAATGGGAATAGTTCATGTCATCAAATAATTTACAACTCCGACCCAACCTTCCCAAATATTACATATATCCATGTTATTGTAAAATCTAGAAAAATTGCAGGTGTGATAATAAAGTATCTGGAAAGATCAGCAAATTCCATTTATTGGAGTTTTAGAGCGGCAGCATATCAGATGATCAAATCTCAAGGGCAGTTCTTATAATTTTTTTAAAATCAGGTAGCCAATTTTGGTAATCACTCCGAAGTTATAATTATAGGTGTTGATCCACCAAAACAAATACCAGGACTAGAATAGGTCGAAAGTATAAAATGCATTTATCAAATATAAAAATCTAATAAACATAGTACTAGGCATTGTTTATGCCAAAGTGTTCCATAGATGCTGACCTTGTTGGACAGTAATATTTAGGTAAATATATAAACTAAATTTGCGGAGGCCTAGAGCTATAAGCGAGCCAAGCTCAAGTTCCTAATACTCGAGCTGATAAATGCTCTGCTCGTTAACGAATCATTAACGAGGTTAATGAGCTGAATTATGCTAAAAGTCCAGAAAATTATGTAAACCCCCCTGTTTTTCAAGCCTAATGAGCCTTAAACAAGCTTGAGCACTAAACGAGCCAAAATTGCCTCGTTTAACAGCTCTATGAAGGGGTAATCTTAGCAACACATATCAGAAGCAAGACTAGGCTTCAACTTCTTGTTGCATTAAGCAGCTTCACATTGAAATCAAAGTCATTTAAGTACGAAAATTTCTTGTAAGATTAGCAACACATACCGGTAAGAATACTCTACTATTCCCGATGCAGAAACCATATTGGTCTTGTTCATTCCCCCGAGCCACAACAGCATACCGGCATGGCAGACTTGGGTGACTCGGTCCCGAGAGATGAGTTAGACAAGATTGTACAAGAATTAGCCCCGCCTATAGGGATATTAGCAGCCTTCAAAGAAGTGCTTTTCTCTATGTGTGGCCGCTTCTTGTGACACTTCAAACAAAAAATGCGGCTATGGCCAAAGACAATCCAACCACTACCCCAATTGATAACCCATGTATATAAGCAATTATGAAAGCGGAGAAGAAGGGATGATACATGAAGAAATCGAGCGTAAATGAGGGAAAAAAAACTCTTTCGTTCTTGTTTCACTGAAAATGTTTACAAAGAAGATAAAGGAAAGCGCAAACTAACATGTTAAATGCTAATATCAGATGGATTCTATTTATCCTAAGCAGGCTACAACTATACTATTAGTACTTACCACTCGTTCGATTCCCACACATTGATATTGATAAAAGAAAGCGCAAACTAACAGGTTAAATGATAATATCAATCACTCCAATCTAATTCATAATCCTCAAAAATATCAACATACTCATCGAATTTTTCGCTTTCATCATCGTCGGGGTCGAGGAAGGAATCCCCGGCCGGTTAACCGTGGACCTGGTAATGGGCTATGGCGTCGTCGCTGATGTAGACGGAACGGCAACCCGGAAACCGGCAGCGAAGTGGCTCCTCCGCGAACGGTAAGCATTCCGGGTGGTACTGATGCCCACATTCAATCATGACTTCTTGAAGAAAAGGGGTGATGTTGCGGCAGCCGGCACAATACCTCCATTCTCAGAGTCAACCTGACCCAGGGCTTCGGCCCCTAATTCTTCCAACAGAGTTTTTTGAGCTTACCCTTTTTTTTGGCCCAGTTCCAATTCTTGACGTTCAGTCCACAAACTGAAGTGAGATTCACGAGTCTCCCCCATTCCAAAGCGGCGAAGCGAACATGTGCTTGAGTGGGTGACCCATTCCATATAGCATCCGCTGTGAAGAAGGTGCAGACAAGCAAGAATGGCAACGAGACAAGGAAGAATTCCTGGCAGATAACACAGAATTCATTCATAAATCTGGAAATCTTCCTGATGCTGTAAATAACCATTATCAGTAAATAACCATATCAGCATCATGATCACTCTCACTCTTGAACAGGATCCTAATGCTATGACCATCATCATCCTCATCACTGGAAGAAGGTTAAACGGAAAATGGTTAAACGGAAAATGGGTTAAACCCATTTTCATTTTTTTCCGTATTCAAACCCAAACTCTTTTCTCCGTCTTTTCCCCCATTAAACCAAAACCCATTTTACGTTTAACCCAAACATATAGTCTTCTTCCAGCAATGAAGATGAAGATGGTCATAGCATTAGGATCCTGTTCAAGAGTGAGAGTGATCATGATGCTGATATGGTTATTTACATCATCAGGAACTTATTTCTTGTTGAGGAATATTTTCAGATTTTATCGATGAATGAATTTTGTGTTATCTGCCACGAAATCTTTTTCATTGATTCTCGTTGCCATTCTTGCTTGTCTGCACCTTTTTCACAGCGGATGCTATATGGAATGGGTCACCCACTGAAGCACATGTTTGCAATGGGGGATGCCCGTGAATCTCACTTCAGTTTGTGGGCTGAACGCCAAGAATTGGAACTGGCCCAAGAAAAAGGGAAAGCCCAAAAAACTCTATTGCAAGAATCAAAATTTGAGGGGCCAGAAGCCCTTCAGGTTGACTATGAGGAATGGAGGTATTGCGCCGGCTACCGCAACATCATCCCTTTTCTTCAAGAAGTCAGAATGTTGATTGAATGTGGGCATCAGTACCACCCGAAAATTGCTTACCATTCGCGGAGGAGCCACTTCGCTGCCGGTTTCCGGGTTGCCGTTCCGTCTACATCAGCGACGACGCCATAGCCCATTACCAGGTCCACGGTGAACCGGTCGGGGATCCCTTCCTCGACCCCGACGATGATGAAAGCGAAGAATTCAATGAGTATGTAGATATTTTTGAGGATTATGAATTAGATTTGAGTGATTGATATTAGCATTTAACCTGTTAGTTTGCGCTTTCCTTTATCAATACCAATGTGTGGGAATCGAACGAGTGGTAATCAGTACTTATAGTATGGTTGTAGCCTGCTTCGGGATAAATAGAATCCATCTGATATTGACATTTAGCTTGTTAGTTTGCGCTTTCCTTTATCTTCTTTGTAAACATTTTCAGTGAAACAAGAAAGAAAATGAGTTTTTTTTTCCTCATTTAGGCTCGATTTCTTCATGTATCATCCCTTCTTCTCCGCTTTCATCATTGCTTATATGCTTATATACACGGGTTATCAATTGGGGTAGTGGTTGGATTGTCTTTGGCCATAGCCGCATTTTTTTTGTTTGAAGTGTCACAGAAGCGGCCACACATAGAGAAAAGCACTTCTTTGAAGGCTGCTAATATCCCTATACGTGGGGGCTGATTCTTGTACAATTTTGTCTGACTCATCTCTCGGGACCGAGTCACCCAAGTCTGTCATGCCAAAAGGTATGCTGTTGTGGCTTAGGGGAATGAAGAAGACCAATATGGTTTCTGCCCATCGGGAATAGTAGAGTATTCTTACAAGTACGTGTTGATATTCTTACAAGAAATTTTTGAACTTAAATGACTTTGATTTCAATGTGAAACTGCTTAATGCAACAAGAAATTGAAGCCTAGTCTTGCTTCTGATTTGTGTTGCTAAGATTACCCTTCATAGAGCTCTTAAACGAGGCAATTTTGGCTCAGCTTGTTTAAGGCTCATTAGGCTTGAAAAACAGGGGGGTTTACATAATTTCCTGGACTTTTAGCATAATTCGGCTCATTAACCTCGTTAAGGCTCGTTAACGAGACGAGCATTTATCAGCTCGAGCTCGAGTATTAGGAACTTGGCTTGGCTTGGCTCGCTTATAGCTCTAGGCCTCCGCAAGTTTAGTTTATATATTTACCTGAATATTACTCTCCAACAAGGTCAGCATCTATGCAACACTTTGGCATAAACAATGCCTACTACTATGTTTATTAGATTTTTATATTTGATAAATGCATTATATACTTTCGCCTTATACTTGAGCAGACGATTTCTATAACTGAAAAGAAAACTTACCCACTTAATCATCACTCTCTCGTCATCCGGCCTCTTCATATCCACGGGCCGGCGGCCCGTTAAAATTTCTAGCAATAAAATCCCGAACGAGTAAACATCGCTTTTGGCCGTGAGTTGAAATGTCCTCATATACTCGGGATCAAGATAGCCTACAGTTCCCTTTACTTTGGTCGATACATGCGTTTTTTCGGAGTCAGGGTCGTCCCCAGCCCTAGCGAAACCAAAATCTGCAACTTTGGCTCTGAAGCTCTCAGTCAACAGAATATTCGAGGACTTGATATCTCTGTGGATAATTTGCTTCTCTGCAAAAAGGTAAAAACAAGCACATCAAGAAATACTCCAATCGAGAGTCATATTAAATGTCTCCATTGTTTAGTACCCAAAAACAAGTATGGGAATAAAACACGTCTTGAGAATGAATTGTTACCAGCATATAGATGGAGATGCGTCAGGCCATGAGCAACATCAATGGAAATCTCAAGTCTTTGATTGAAATCCAATGTCTTACCCTTACTACCTACCAAGAACAAAAAACTATGTTATAATTGTGTATATAACAGTAAAATTTGCAACGCTTGATAAAATTGAAAGCTTTACCATCTAGATGTTCTCTAAGTGTGCCATTTGGCACATATTCCGTGATGATCACGCGTTCACTTCCTTTTTCGACGTAACCAAGAAGCTTGACTAAGTTACGATGATCAATTTTAGCCAGAAGTTCAACTTCTCTTCTAAATTCTATCTTCAGGGCTTCAAAGTGTTCCTGAAATTGTTCCCACAGAAACAAATCACTAGAAAAACTATGGAGCACAACGATTAGCAAAAAATGTAGAATCGTTTAGTTCAACAAACTATATAATATGATATCCAAGCAAACACATGAACACAACAGAAAACCGAAAGTTATTCCCAAACAACAGTCAGTACATGTTGGTGTTGTAACAATTTCATTAACTATTGCAATACCGGCAGGGATTTAGTTCAAACTTGAATCTATAGTATGAGTGGATTTTCATCATTATTTACATAAACTATATTATGTATTACATATACTGAGAAAATAACAGTATTTGGCTTTACTGCAAATATGGTCTCGTGCATGGAGGACAAAATATTTTGCTTCTGTAGGTAGTGGAGTTAGCAACATTTGTCCAGTAAAAACATCAACGTTTTGCATGTATAGCCCCATGGATTCTAACTTGAGCAATTCAGGATCAACATATTATGGATTTGTGCATTTTTGGTCCCTAGTTGTTGTTTCAATGTTAGTTTATTACCAAGAGACAAAACATATGCTATTATTCAGAAGAAAGGGTATTTCCAATCAATTGGCAATTTCCACCGGCAGGGCCTTGGGTTTGGTCAGGGAATGCTCCAAAGTTTTCTACTGGTTTTAACAGCATTAGCCAAAAGCTTATGGTGAAAAGTCAACAAGTTACAAGATTAAAATTTCAAATTCCTCTCTAAATAAAAATGCAGAGTCTCTCAAGCGTAACTGGTGCTTCGTTATCCTACGAATCAACTTCCGACACTTTGGAGCAAATTTAGACTTTTATTGAAATTATAAACACATTGTCAACTTAAATTATATATAAATCTTAAAATTTAATAACTTTTTATTTGTTAACAATTCTTCAAATATAGTAAATTAAATTAATCACCTTTGTTTTTACATCCTTATTGCATATATGTGATATTAATGATCTCTAATTTTTATCCATATTGCATATATAAAATAAAAAAATAATAATTATGTATACTTTATTAAACAAAAAATTATCCATGAGTCCTAATTAGGAGAAAATAATAAAATTATTATGAATAAGTTCAAATAAATTTATATATCAAACCTAATTTGATATAAAGTATTGTTAAGCAATACTATATAATATAAGCTTGAAAAACTATTATAGTTTACTACGAGTGAGTCCCACTAGTGGGGATGTCATTTTGAATAAAATCATAATGCATTTTACATGAAATATTTAATAATATATTTAATTTTAAACTTCTATGTTCATCTTTCTCAAGACTTTTTTGCGTACAACTTCATTAATCAACACCCGCACAATACATGGATATTGTACTAGTTGTAGAGCTATAGGACTGAATTGCAACTAACCCTAACAATTTTGTTTTTCTTCATAGGAACAGTATACATTAAACATCTCACGTCAAAATCCGTTCTCACTCTAAATAACAATGAAACTGTGTACATTAACTAGTATGAAGTTTCAGTAGACTCCCAAGCCCGCTATATAGACAAGAAAAGCCTCAACTGTTTATGTTCCCTAGGCAACAACCAATTATAAATCATTCCAAAAATATATGTTTTTTAGCAGTTACATTTTTTTAAAAAAAATATATATTTAAAGAGAGAAAAGCTCCAAAATCTGAAGCTATGAAAAAGAATCATGGATATATACCTTTCGTGCTCTTTTGATAGCAACAATTTGGCCATCAGGCAGCTCAGCCTTGTACACAGCCCCAAACCCCCCGCCACCTATCCTTCGTGATGGAGAGAAATTATGCGTGGCCCGCACGACTTGACTCATATTTAGATGAACAGAACCAAGCCTATTGAGTTTTGGTGACATGGAGAATCTTGAAGGACTTGGAGGCACTCTCAATGGACTTGGAGGCACTCTTTGTGGACTCCCAGGAAAATTCTCATATGTGGGGTTCATTTCTAAAGATGAAACTGAATCCACTGCAAGAATAGCACAAATATTACATAAAGTTTATTTATGAAATAAGGATCAAGCAAAGTTCTATTAACAATATTCTTGTTAGTTCCTCGTGATTTCTTACAAGGAAAATGCATTTTTCCATATTGTGAATAATGAGAAATTTAGGAAGAATTTCTCTACTGCAAAGTTTAAACCTCAAATATCAGATCTGTTTCATTGACAAATGGAACGACCATTGTTCATTAACAGTATTCCACCCACATAAGATCCTCACATGCATTATGGGTGTATGTGGTTTTTGTCACAAGTCTTATTTCTATTTTTCAACAATTTCAAATAAAAAGTTTATGCTTTTTATTGAAGTTCTCATTGGAAATTAAGTAATTCGTTTAGTTTTTACTTTTTTCTATGAAAAGAGGATTTTGGAAACATAGCCCAAAACTTTTCATTATCATCAGGCAAAAATCTATGTGCAATCATACTTGAAAGACTACAATCAAGAATTCTCTTAACTATGGTCAAATCTATCTACGTTAAAAAAGGCACTTGAAAACCTAATAGCCAAAAAAACTTATTTTCTGATTATGGAAATTCACACAAAAAATCCAACATGTTCACATTTTTCCTCATAAAACTAATAACATCTAATAATTCATTTTTAAACACTAGAAAGAACATTGGACATGAAAAGACATCCGTACAAGACATAAGGCGTCCTAATGATTATTGGACACTCCATCTTCATGAGGTAAAACTGTAAAAGAGTTCCTAACTGATCTTGCACTTTCGAATTGTAGGGAAATCACTCTAAACCGGAAACTACCACAGGCCTTTATATGTATTTATTTCAAATGGTTGACAGCAATCATTGATGTTTCAAGATGCAGGCCCAAATGTGAATGTTAGGGTGGCAACTGTGTCGTGTTTGTGTTTCACTATAATGTTTTCGTATTATCATAATAAACATGATAGTAACTTTATAGTTAACTATATTATTAATTTCGTGATAATTTTGATTCGTGCCACTCCCATGTCTTATTGTATAATTTGTTATATAGTTGTGTTTTCTAATCGTGTCGAGTCATTTTAATGT